TGCCCGCGCCGCAAACTACTAAATAGGGAAAAATGAGCCTCGGTCAGTATTCGAACCGACAACCATCCGCGTCTCGGACGCGCGCTGTACCAACTGAGCCAATGCTGAGGCTTTTGAATGGGTGAAGCTTATCTCCGCTGTGGCTCACAACCCGAAACATATGGCCGTCAGAGGGGCAAAAGGGTACCGTCGACCAGATTCGAACCAGCGACTGTTTGAGTACCAGCCCATCACGCCGCACGGTTGTAAAGTCATGGCCAGCGGAGCGCGAAAAATATCACCCGGCCGAGATTCGAACCAGTGACCAGGTTCATACTGGGGCCAGACGCCACCGACTCGGCCACGACGGGACGGTACGGAGGACAACTTACGGAGACATGCACATCTCAGCTGTGACTGACGCCCGAAGAGACTTGGCCAGCAGAGCAGGAAAAATAATCGCGGACGGGATTCGAACTACCGACCATCCCCTCGATCTGCCAACGATCACGCTTTAATACGCTCGGCTACCAGCTGGCTCTTTCGGGGTCGAGTTTTGAGCTCGGTCCTGCTTAATAAACCGGAGACAAAAAGCGACAAAGAAAAAATTTGCCCCGCCCGGGAGTTGATCTTAGGGCTGACAATTTTGGTTCGGATGAAGCTGCATGCGGTCACGTCGACTGTAGCCACAACTGTTTAGCTACAAAAGGGGCGTGTGGCTGGTGGCGTCGGATATCGTATGTTGCCCCATTTGTGACCTCATTTTTGTGTCCATGAACAGGGACGTGTCCACTACCACTTGTCGCCGCGACACGAGTTGTCGCTTGGACGCCTGGGAGGTAGGCCACGGATTCTCTCTAAGGCCTCTGTCGTGACGGGGAATTTGGGTTTAGGCTTCTTTTGACCCCAGGTTCATAAATCCTTTCTAGAGCTGAGCAGTGACGCCGCGTCAATCTAGGCGTGGGTCGATGATTTTCGCTGAAAACGCCTGGAGGGTAGGCAGTGCTTTCCTGAATCGGGCCCTTCGCGGCCCCCTGTCCCTCCGAGTGCTTGGACAAGGCGAGAGCTTCGGATATGCATTGATATCTTTCGTTTTCTCTTTAGTTCTTAGCGCTGTTTACTTCTGGTTGATATTCTAGCATTGGCGGAAGTAATGAACTCGTCTATAGACGGTTCAGTTTAAGCTGACTCGGGCCCTGTCGGCTGTAGCTACAATCGTGTAGCTACAAACAGGGACGTCCGTGTAGGCGTTCGTGTTGGACGTGCGAGCTCCGCGGGGTTGCCTACGTCCTATCCACAGGCGCCTACCGGCCGTCCGGGATGTCCCCGATCGTGGCCAAAAATAAAAGTTGGTCCCAAATCCGGCTGCCAGAGTCACCTTAATCTGACCCGACTATACACGGTTAAAAATTTTCCCAGTAGGTACTTTTATGGAGGACGCTAATGGCATTCAAGAGCAGGTGTTGAAATGCAAGAAACTATTTTTGCAGTTTAGGAGATCTATTTTTCGAGTAAAATGATATCGGACGCTCCCAATCATATTAATTAGTGGGCAGTTGTTTGATTGTTTAAGGGATTACACTAATAGCTAAAGCTATAACACCCTCACTTAACTGTGAAAGCCCGCACCCCAACCACTAGTTGATACCCGTTTGCAAAAGACCAACAACAGTATTTCGCTCACTGCACGTACCCATTTAGCACCATTTCGACAAAGCTAACAGTGAGCATAGTTTACACAAAGGGAATCATTTAATTACTCTGCCTCGAAAAATAACTTACCATTTGTGTGTGGTTCGGCTGACCCCTTTACGAACTCAGAAGTCGTCCTGCGGTGGGATGAAATAAAAAGTACCACCCCATTTTGTATTTTTTTTATTATTTTTGTCCAATGCTTGAGTCCGGTGCCAAATTAGTTAAATGCACCTGCAGACGGGGCAGAGGCAACCCCGAGGCCCAAGGAAGGGGCTCCTAGTTCGGTGGTTTGGTGGTGGGGGCGGGGGGAGAGCACGAGGATGCGACGTCCATGCGCTAAATCAGCCCCCGTCGCCTGCCCCGGAGTCTCGCGGCTACAGAGCCTGATGACTCTCAATACCACTTTATGGGGTCGAGGAGGGACAAAACTGGAATGGTTGGTGGTGTCTTGGCCCCTCTCCAAGTAGCGAAGAGACGACGGACGGGTGGCTGCTAACTGGAATAGAGTCCCCCAGTCGTCCTGGATGACCCCGCCGTATAGAGGGCGTGGCTGTGCGGGCGGGACCGATGACATGGCGGCTGATGAGGCACGTCGCCGCGGGCCGGAAGATATTGCCTCAAGCTCTCGCCATCGCCGGGCTGCGTCCGCCGCCGCGGTCCTGCCGGCCCCTGCTGTGGGTCGGGCCAGCCAGCCGCAGAGCTTTTGGCGCGGCCGGCGGCGTATCTCTCGGACGCCTCCCTCCTCGCGGGGCACAAAGAGATAAGATGGGCAGGGCCGGGCAGGGCGCCGCGGGCTGCACCTCTGCCGCAGGGCCAGTCGCGCACCTGAGCGCGGAGAGCAGCGAGGACCGGGCCGCCCAGGCCGCAAGTTATATAGAGCGCGCGCGGGTGAGACGTGAGAGTGCTTTGGGATTGTAATCTACCCTTTTTGGTCGTCATCAGCATGTTCCCGAGTCAAGGGTGAGTGTAAAAAATTTGAATTTTTTCTAGACTTACGAGTACGGTCTCGTTGACTATTAAGCTCTCCTTACAAACGTGGCGCACACTTATTATATGCATGCATATCCATAGGATCCAGTTAGAGTATAGTATTAGAATGTGCACATTCTAAAATCAAGAATATCGTTTTCTGGGTGCACTATTTGACCAGACGCGCAGTTACTTGTTTGCAACATTATCGTATTCATTTCGTGGTATGTATGCCGCAACATTGATAGCTTTTCAAAATAAACTTACGTTGGGTATTTTGTTTTAAAAATCGAAAAAATAAACCAACCAAGCAAAGCGGCTGATATTTATTCTTAGTATGTTTCACTTGGGGACGTGGACATAATATGTGCCGCGACTCATGTTCGGACTCATGTGCAGATAGCCTTTGGAAGGCGCTCCTCTATGGCTTAACATGACAGTGTATTCATCTGCTCCAGTCAAAACAAAATGGCTAGCCCCTCTTCACTCCGTTTTGATCGAAAAATACGGGAGTAAAATAAAAATGCTAGGCGAGCGACCTAGCTAGCCTACTCTGGCGGGGCGATGCGTCCCCGGCGTGAGGACAGGTGCGATATGATAAGGCCGATAAGACGCTCGCGGGGGAGGGGTGGGGGAACGGGCGCGCCCAATGGGGGGGCATGACTAACCCTCAGCGCGGTGACGTGTATTACAATCCTATTAATACCGGAAATGCAATCACATCCTGTTGACCGGAAACAGCGATGTCTCACGAGGATGCGCATGCACTCGGGCACGCGCTGCTCCCGCCCCCCGCCCGCAGACACCTTCAGTTCCGTTGGTCTCGTTCTGATTGGATTCCGGCTCTGACCGGCGTACAAACTTCCTTTGACAGACGGAACAGTTTTCACTTTCTTGTCTTGGAGAGAATATGGATAGGGCGAAGCCAGAATGAGTGTGTGTGTGTGTGTACGAGGAAAAGGGGAGGTGGGGGGACTGTGTGTGAAAGAACATACTCTCTACCCTCGTATTTATCTTCCGTTGACAGATGGCCGCAGAGGCCGTCCCTTTCGTGGCTCCTAGTATTTGTTGGTAAGTCATTTACAATACATAATAAGTAGTTAACCCTCGCAATGGGGAGTCTTTCCCACGTGACAATAAACGCCCCTTTGGTGTCGCAGCGACGTTCTGGTGCGTGGCCGGGCAGGAGAACGCGGGCATGACCATCTCGCCGTCGCTGGTGGAGTGCTACAGCAACGCGTCGCTGCTGTCCGGGGACGCGCTGCCCACCTTCGGCATCGGCCAGCTCATCGACCTCATCCGCAAGGTGGAGAACTCCCCCTACACCCGGCTCGACCTCCGGAGCATGGCTGTGCAGCTGACGCACAGGTGAGGCGGACGACGGATAGAAATCACCAAATTATACCTTGATCACAAAAAACAAAAACAAAAAAAAACAAAAACACGTTTTTCGCTATGTTTTCTGACTCGTGGTTAGGGAAATACACTTCTTTATTTGTACGTGCAATAGCGACAGTGTTAAACATTAAGGTGTGCTTAGGTTCCGCCAGGACGGCATCCGTCGTGACCCTCGCACCATGGCCTCCGAGGGGGTGATCCCCTACACCCCGGCGGGGCCCGAGTTCTTCCGGCACACCATCCTGCTCAAGATGCTCATCCCGGGCAACGCGTACAACTTCCCCAACGCGAGCCTCACCACGGCGGAGCAGTGCGCGCTGCACTTCATGCTGTCCTCCACGGTGGACGACATCCAGCGCAACAACGAGGACTCGGAGTGCAGCAACCTGCGCAACTACGAGACGGACGTGAGCGGCAGCAGCACCGGCGGCGGCGCGTCCGGCTACCGGCAGCCGGGCGGCGGCGGCTACAGCTCGGGCGTGAGCTGGAACAGCCGCCGCTACCCGCAGCAGTCCACGCGCGGCCCGCGCCGCAGCCGCAGGGAGGCCGCGGCCGGCCTCGAGTCGGACGTCGAGATCCTGGACCCCACCCTGGAGTGAGTCCGCCACACCCTCCCCTGCCTACCGCGCCCCGCCTCGCTTGCGCTAACCCTCTGCCTCCTCTCTAACTCTCAGGGCGGAGGTGAACAAGGCCAAGTACACCAACTACGCGCACAGCCGCTGCCCCATCCAGGGCGGCGTGGTGTTCACCCCCTGGGGTGCTGTGAGCGCGGGCACCGTCATCGCCGGCATCGCGGCCGGGCTGGTGCCGCAGACCGTGTCCACCAGGGACCTGGCCGTGGCCATCCAGCGCTCCAAGTACTTCACGAGCCGCGCCAGCCGCCCGGGGATGTCCAGGTAAACACGCGATGTCTTGTTGACGGGTTCAATATTGTGTGCAACTATTTTGCCCAATGAAAGGGTCGATGAGGACAAAGTGAAGAAAAAATGAGATAATGTTGCGGAGATTAAAATTTGTAAACTTGGATTCGACCTCTCCAACATGCTGGGTATACTTGCGTCGCGCGTGAGCTACGAGCTACCCGAGCTACCACACAACTAGGGCTTGTGTGAAGATTGACTACGACTCTGTCCCCGCAGCGCCGACACGCTGGGCTCCATCAACAACAAGTGGGCGGCGACGTTCTCCGGGGACCTGGCGCAGGTGGCGCTGCTGCAGGGTCCTCAGGACCCCACCAGGATGGCGGTGGGGCTGCCCGCGGGCTGGACCTCCACCCTGGAGCCCAAGAAGTACTACCTGAGCCAGCCGGTGGACGGCGCCATGAGCGAGGCCGACGTGCGCGGCTGCATCGACGGTGAGGGTTGTTCTGTCGCACGAACGCGCGAGTCTTTCTCTCTTATTTTGGAGCTGCACAAAAACACCGCGCCTTATTCGCCACGTATCTGCAGAGTAAAAACGTATTTTTGTCTCGGTCGCAGGCATGCTGCTCGGGTCGAACGTCAACGACTGGTACAGCCGCTCCCGCTCCAACCTGCGTCTGTCGCAGCTGCTCGACATGTACTACTCGGAGCGCGGCGTGTTTGACCGCAACACCCGCGCCTGCCTACGCCGCGAGCGCATCGGCGACGTGGCCACCACCACGGCGCTGGACGCCCAGGTAACTGCACTAGAAAAACAAAGGTGCCAAGTCGTGCCCCAAAAGTGCTAAAAATTAGTGCTTTTGTAAAGGCACTAAACCTTTAGTGCCTTTGAAGGTGAAAAGTAGGACTTGGCACCTTTGTTTTTTAAGTGCACACCTTCACTCTCTCTTCACTCCCGGGTTGTCTATTAACGCTTGGTTCATGTACAGACGGAAGCTTTCTCGAAATTCTACGGCGCCAACAACCCAATCACCGTCACCATGTCCGACGACGTCATCACCAGCCTCTCGGACACCGCGGTCAACAAGCTGCAGTCTTTCATTCGTACGTAGGACTCTTTTTTTTAGAGGTTACCAAAAAACTTATCCGAAATGAGAGATAGTTAGTGGATGTTTGTTCGACCCG